GACTAATTTCGTGTAGAATTTTCCCATGGTGGTAGAACGGTTTTTTCGGAAAAAGTGCTATGCCTCCGACAACTACTAGAGATCGGCTCCGTGGATCTTCCGTCGCTTTTCGCTTTCGGTTCCGCGGCGATCTATCGTGCCGGTCTGAAAACTTCCTCTGATTTTTGATAAGCCTCTCAACGTTCGCAAGTTGCGGCGTAGATGAAGCGAGCAGGAGCGAGGAAAATTCCGACGTTTTGTTCCACTGAATTTCCTCGGTTATCCTAATATATCGGGGTGACTCCAGAGCGAGCCAGTGTCCCGCAAAACCATTTTGGTCCGTTTAGGTTTTTTGTATCGGGCAACAGACTCTTGATTCGTCTCCCCTTTTTTGTTCCGAGGAAAAACTCGGCCCATTCTCCGTTTTGAAGCTTGCCTTCCGAATTCCGCTTCCCATTGCAGGTTTTGCAATAATTCGCGACGATTTAGCAGACATTTTAGACGAAAATACAGCCGCCGAATATGCGATCCTCCGCATCTTCCTCCCACAATCAGAGGGCGTCTCTGCGAACTCGATTCTTCGTTCCAATCGTGACCCGTGACACGCGGTCGAATCATTGAAGCTCGAATCTTCGAACGAGCTTCTGTTCTCACAGGTCTGGATGATATTGACTCTTTGAATGTCTCTTCCCTTGAATAATTTTTCTGGTTCGCTTGATCGCTTCGCTGTTTACATCGCAATAACCTTACCGCGGAGCATACCAGTGGCCATTCGGAAACAGGGAATCTAGTCTAACGAGCGATCAATGCTTCGAATCATTCTCCGTGCAATTCGGACTATCGCCCGAGGGAACGAAGATGTTAATCGACCTCCTTTTACAATTATTCGACCTCATCCCAGCGTTGCTGTTTCAGTTGCCGTTGTTGTCGATGTTCTTGCTCTGCTGCCGTGAGCGTGTAGAGGAAAAGATAGGTGCTCCGCGCGACACGTACCGCATTGAATATCATTGCGGCCGACGCTAATATCACGGATCACAATAGCTTCATCGGACGGACGACCAGGACTCGCGTCGCGGTAGCTAGCTTGACAATTTTGTTGTTCTAACGTTCTAACCCCGGAAGCAAGTTTGCCGAAAACCGAAGTACTGGGCAAACATATTCTACAAAAAGCAAGCGCTCGGCGCGACGTGTAAACAAACGGCCTATCTGCGGCAGTCGGCGTATCGCTGGCTCACACGGACGACTACGACTCTGAGAACTAAACAAATCACTTCTACTAGTTATAGACGAAGTTGGAAACCACCACCCAGATGTCTGACAGAGCGACTTCGACGCTGTCGTTCGAAGCGAAACCAGTTTCGATTGACTCATGACGGCTATCATCGTCTTAGGTGAGGTTCATGTTCGAGGAAGAACATTCTCGATTTCTCCGCGTTCATACCGAATACTCAACAAGCCGTGGAAGTCTGAACTGGACTTCGGTGTTAGGAAAACAAGGGGGAGCAAGTGTCTATCCTCGCGATTCGCCACGCGGAAATTGAATCGGAGTCTAGGATTATACATCATCAATAAAAGCATACACCATAAACATACCTTTCCACAGGGATTAGATGATTAACAGTCTCGTATAAAATGTTTTAGCCAGTAGCACTTCAACAGGCAACCACACACTCAGTTTGATCGCGCTTCAGCAACTAACGTTGTTCTGGGTCAGTCGTTCCGTGTGCGCTGAAGCTAGAGAGGGGGGAAAGAATACTTCAGTAGGCAGTGCGTTTGCATTCTACTTCTCGCTACTATTGCTACTCCTACCGATTGAAGAAGCAAGCGGGCAGACAGACCAACAAACACACACACACACAGCCGATCGACAGACGGATCGAGAAAGCGAAGATGATGACGGTTGCGGCGCTGGGGAAGACTAACGTCGCTGATTGAGTGACTGAGGAGTTTACTGATTGCCTGATGATTTGATTGATCAGTATTGGGAGCTCCGCCAGCATTACCAGTGTGGAGTTCTATCTCCCCATGTTCCGCCCAGAGAGACCATGGATTCTCGTCGCGGAGCGGTAACATATCGAGCGACAATCGGCAACTTCGGGGATTCGTGACGGTTGACGAATTAGCGTGTCTCTACGCGAGGAATGTCGCTGAGCATAGATCTTAAGCAATCGAGTCCATGATCCAGTGATGCGGATCGCCACCCGTCTGACTCCGAGTTGATGACTTCAATCGTAATAGTCAGAAAACTTCTTCGCCTCAATGGGTATCTCATACTGATTTCTTTTCCCCTACTCGAGGTTGTCGCGAATCGTTAGCCCGGAGAAGTGTATCGGGAGGCGATTGGAGATGTCAGAAGAGTCTGTCTCCGACTTCTCCGCTGTAGACGACGGAGGTACCTCTAATGAGTTTCATGGAGACGATATGGAAGATGTGTTTTCGGGTGTCAGCTGCTGGAATTCGTTCAGAATTCCAGGGAGGCTCTAAATATATCATGTCTCTAGCTTCTGGGTGTCCTATCTTCAGGATCATTTCAATATTCACTCCGCCTGCGATATCTCCCGGAGTTCGGAGTCGTGGATCCTGACGGATCCTCCGATTCCATCTGGATCAGAATGGGAGTTCACTTATCTTTCTTATTGAGCGAGCACTCACATTCGACGTATCTCTAGTTATGGGCGTTCGAAGCATTCCCCGAACACGGAAAAAATCGAATGTTGATCAGGAGGAATTATTCAACGTTTTCATCGTGTCATCAGACTTCCAAGGAAAAGAACGGCGATGGTGAACTAAAATTGGAATGGCTAACCTCGAGCGTCTCCTGAACGTTTCGTAATGCGTATCGTCGTCGACGATCTGTGAAACGGATGGAAATCTACTCGTGATGACAACCCGATGGTCGCGTTCGCCGCAAAAGTTGGTGGTGACCCGAACATATCATGCGATGTCCGGTCGTGAGCATTTTACGGAGTCACATCGGGAAAATTTTCCGTCGCCCAGTTGCGCCAGGGAGGCGCGAAGAGCTCTACCCTGCTTCACCGGGAATGCGAATCTTCATAGGAAGCGACCAATAATTCAAAAAAAACGTTGTATCATCTGTCGTACCTAACGATTAGGATCAGCCGAGTTTTGTCTGGCGAGTCGCCGACGCCGTCGTTTCCCCGAATTCAATATTCATCCGAAAGCTACTACCGACGTCAGGTGAGTTCCCTTCCCTTCCTGGGCGAAGAAGTCGAGCGATCGCAATCCAGTCTCTGAGGTTGACCCGTCAGTCGATTTCGGACGGACGTCGGCAGAGAGCTTGGACCAACGTGAGGTGAGGCCTCGCGCAAAGGAATCACCGGGACTGCTCGATGCTTAGAGAGGGAAAGAGTGGAAGTTTCAACATTTCATTCAGGACCCATCCCATTCGAGACAAGTCCTTTCGGTCGTCAAAAGTCGGAAGCGTTGACTGAGTGAGTCGCAGCTCGAAAGCCGTGACTAAACGGTCTTGGAAACGTACAAAACACTTCGCCGACTTGACGAAAAAAGGTGTGGAACGTGGAACGGTATGGCCGACAACAACATTCCGTAATTCGAATGCTAGGAGAATGACAGCATATATCAGATCCAGAGAACGAGGGTCGTATTGCTTAGTGCTCAGAAATCCGTCTTGTCCGGCCGCGGTCAGGTAGGAGATGAAATTGAGGAAAATTCTCATATTGTACGGAATCATCCGTCCAGACGACATCTTCCGGAAGGGAAGAATTCCGGGGTGTCCCGATGCGATCACGGCAGGCAGGTCGATCATTTCGCGCGACTAGGTTATCCGATCGGTGGGAAGAGACCCCTTGTGAGGAACTCAGCAGGAGAGATCACCTAATTCTTGGATGGTCCCTATGCTCTTCTTCCATTGTTCGTATCTACGCAACAACATTCGCTTGCGACCCTGCTCAGGCTGGATTTGCCATGTCAGACTCCCGGGCCCGGGCTTGCTCCAGGAGCCTGTCCTGTTGGGGAGAGCCGATAGCGGGCTTCGGCGAGGCTAACCTCAAGGTCTCGTGGAAGCTCGGTTCCTTCTTCCCTTGGCTCGGGTACACGCCTGACTCCCCGACAGGATGTCTAACTCGAACTTGGGACCTTATCGTGCCTCGGGCACCGCCGCAATGCTTTAGGTTCATTCAGCCCGTAAGTCTGGAGAATTGAAATGGCACTAGGGGACCGATCTGGCATCTGGCAGACCGGACAGTGAATGAATCATGTCGAAGCAGCCGGACTCGAGGGAAGCAATTCTTCTGCTCGGAACACGCATTACCCTCCGGAAGTAGTCTTGTTAGACAATACTTGTTCCTTCCTCAGATTAGTGTAGAGTCTTGAGCTCTTTCAGCTCGGTGTTGAATCGTCTCAGACGATGTCTAGATTTTTTAATCACCGCCCGCGGCGAGTACTTCCCGTTGATCCTCGCAGGTGCCTGGAAGGGCTGCCCGAGCTCGATTCGCTTAATTCCATAATTCTCATTTGTGAGCTATGACCGAGATCACACGACATTTCTGCGATTTCAAGTGTCTGCACGATCTGAACGAGTTCCATCTTCCCCGCTCAAGAAAGGGAAACGTTCCGCAATGCATTGTTCGTCGTTTCAAGAGCTGATCCCCCGACGTGAGATTCGAGCAAAAAATTGTGTGACCATGGACAAAAAGGAGAATCTCTAAATAGGGAGCAACGGATGGTTGCGGAATGGCGGCGCCGCGCAGAGAGCTCGAATTAAATGATGAATGGGTTTCCTTTCTGGTACATATGGATACCTCCATCAGGGTCGCCGGAGAAGAGATTCGATTGAACCCGCCGGCGAAGAATGAGATTCCCGGTCCAGGTCCTAGGTCTAGGCACATCCTCCTCCAGCCATTCTTCGGGAATTCGCTCCCAGCTCTCGATAAGAAGGAGCCGCGCGGTGGGAGGGGGATCGAGAAAGGATATTGTTCGGGAACCGAGAGGACGATCTCTCACCCTGGAGTTTCTAGACGATAGACAGAGTTCTATATCTTAATCTCTTTATTTCTTCTTGGAGATTAGTGACCCTGGAAGAATGGTACGGAGAGCCCCCCGGACTACATTCACGAATATGTGAAAGCTCACTCAATTATATTAAGCCTCGATATCGGTAAAATGGAAAAAGATGATCGATGACTGCGTCAGGACATACAGGACATGCCGAAACTTTGTGCGCTAAAAACCGGGCTATGGATCGCTGATTGCTCCGAGGAAGGCGATTGACGACTCTCATCGAGCAATCGTCAAACCTTGCCGAAATAAATGCACTCGACACCTTTCGCGAGTCTCGTCTGCTCCTCGTCTACTTCCCCATCAACGATTCTCTTCCTCAGAGCGGGACTGCGAGACGACGAGCCGGATTCGAAAGATTGATTCATTCTAGTTGGCTTCGACCCTGTGACGCTTGCTGGGACGCTATTGCTTCGCGGCAGACTCCCTGAGGCCGGGACTAATTGTCTCGTTGGAGTTGCGGCCGCAACTTTCACTTGGGTCGGCTCCAATTGAACAAATAGCTCAGCGCGGCTCCAGTTCAGCTCGTCGTCCGATGAGCTCTCGAACTCGTCGGAGTTCCTGTCACTGGTCGAATGCGAGCTCGTCGTAGATGTGCACGTTGAGGATTCTAATTCGTCGATTTTCCTGAGCGAGGCTTGGAGTAGACCCGTCAGGTGGAACTTTTTCGCGATGACGCTGAGATCCTGCGGAAAAAATGCGGACCGCTTGGGGACATCGGACTTCTGGGCTTCCGTATACGACTCGGACTGGAGCTCATCACACTAAGGCGAACGGGAAGCTTCTTGACTCACGTGAAACAAATCGACGGCTTCGATGTCTACGGCGAGCAGGAACGCTTTCTCGTATTTTCCATAACGTAATAGTTGGAAGAAGAATCTGAACAATGGAGGAATCATAGATTTTAGTTGTTTGCAGGAATGCCTTGGAATCGGCATCATCGGCTCGAGCTCTCATCACGGCTGTGATCGCGGGTATGATTACCTCCTGGCTAAGTTGACGACGCGGGGCATATACTGTTCGAGCAGGTTCTGTTCCAATAAACCACTCTCGACAAAGAAGCTCGACATTGCTTGTTCCAGGTACGCCTCGACTTGATCCGTCAGATTGTGGGATAGGAGTCTGTTGCAAAATTTCAACAAGATCCGATAGCATATCGATGCGTATTCGGACCAACTGAGAGATCGAAGGACGCCCAGCGCAGCCTCGATGTTCATTTGGCGCAGATAGAGCTCGCTCAGCGCCACGGGTCCCCACAATTCGTTCTGGAATGCACAATAATTATTACAAAGTCATCAATTATGCCCGACTGGCTTCTCGTTTCCCTGGCAGAGCAGTACGCAGGCGGGAACTGAAAAACGAAGACTCACTTGATTAGCGGTGATTGAACCCAATCGGAAGTTCATCAACAAAATGCAAGTGTGGTCGATGATGAGAGCGCCGAGATTATTCGATCGCGGCGACTCCAGCGGCTCCCACTCGAGACATAAACAAGAGGGCTTGTGCCGGAAGAAGGGATTGAGATCCAAGAGCGTGTGCGAAAGCGGTAGGTCGGACAACGCTTGCAGAGGTAAAATGTTGAGAGCGAGGTCAACGCAAATTATTTTTCCCTGGTTGGAAACCAGGACCGCGAATGCGCCACCGGGGTGCCAACGCATTCGGTCCGCGGTTATGCTCAACTTTCGGCTCTCGATTGTGCGTCTCACACCGTCGTAGCACATGAGCCTGAAAGATACAGACGGCTGATCAAGCCTCGCGAAGTCACCGAATCCAAGGGGAAACCGAGCACAGTGCCGGCACGAGTCATCCCCCCGATTAGCAACTCACCCTTGTGACCGAGTCGATATGAGGAGTTTCTGGAGGGGCTGATGCATTACACAACTGATCATCGGCGAGTCCAGAGTCACCGAAACACAAGACAGACGGACGAATCGACCTATTCGAGCAGATCGAGAGTTTGAGGCAGTTCGAAATGACAGATCTTCCCAATCGGATCATTCGGCAGACTCGGTTAATGAACACTTCAAAATTCTCGAGAAGCCCACGAATCTCCCGGGAGCCCGCACAGCTCTCCCCGAAAGTTGCTCACCGCCCCAGCGCTCACCTTGCCCGACCTGGTAGACGCAAACTTGTGCCGACGATTCATCGATACCGTCTTCAACGGTAATCAGGTTGTTGCTGACATGATCACTAAACTCCGCAGCGTGAATATTCCGGCCGATACGTCCATAGCAGAAGAGTTCGATAGCATTGCTGTTAAAAATCGCGAAGTCATCATTCGACACCGATTGAGGCCGAGAGATTTCGACCATTGAATGAGGTAGTGACTATTTTCGAACAAATCGGAACTGTCCCTGTAGGAGGAACACGAGCGTATTATCGAATTACCTCTCGAGAATTGTGTAAACCAAGACATTCGCTCGGTTTTTCTCGGTGAGCAAAGGACTCCACGGCACAGCCTCGTTCTGAGCAGCGCCCCAGAAGACCAGGAGCACATTACGGGACCGACTCCAAGCGACTCTTCGATCCCATTTGCGACCTGAAACGCCGACGGTCTCGAATGCTGTCACCCGGGCTTCTCCCAACGCCGAACGCCGCTGGGATCTCTGGTGGAGCGGCCGAGAGAATCGTATCAGCATGACCTGGAAGTCGCCGTCAAGTCCTGAACTCCTGTCTCCGCAACGGATTCCGCGAGCGCTCGACATCGTTATAATTCTCGAGAGACTGAACAATTAGACAAACCTTTGGCTCATGAAAGGCTATCGCGATCGTCTTGGGGGTGATGATCGCGTGAACCGCTCGATCCGTGAATTTCTCGCACAACGAGCGATCGATGTGGATCTTCTGCGGGGACCAGCCCTTCAGGTACAGGAGACAGAGAGCGCCGTTGCCGAATAGCATCTGCACGAGAGGGTGAGTTTCAGTTCCCCGATGGGGCATGACCCGTAGGAATTGCTCCGTTAGTGGAAAGTTCCTCCATACGATATATGGATCATGAGGCTCAGCACTCACAGAGAGGACACCTGATGCGACCCAGCTGACGGCTAGACATCTCTCTTTCTCTTGGAGGTTTTCGAGTTCACGAAGACTTTCTTTCAGGCGACCCTGGGCTTTCCATGGAATCTCCTTCGCGTCCTGCAGTGATTTCCGGGATTCTCGAATGATCGGACATCCTGGACCGGCGGTATCTTCGGGAAAGACAAATATTCCGTGTTATATTAGATGAAGTGCGTCGGACATTGCGAAATGAAAATGAAAACGCTCTTTAGGGATTAAGGGATCATCAGGAAGTACAAAGTAGGACGAGCGACCGTGCCGCCGGAAAACATCCGAACTACCTGTTGCTTTATCGTGAAGTCGATAACATGCCTGATCCAGATCTGCAACAGAATACTCCTATGATCCAATCGCCGAAACCTCCCTTAACGATCCGTCGGCGAGAGTCCTACCTCTAGGTCCTACAGTTTTTTTGTATTTATGTATATGGTTTTGGAAGCCGCTCTTCAAGTACTAGTGATTCGAACGGAGTCGGGGGATTCCGAGACCTGGGATGGACTTTCAGGCAGCGGTCACCGTGAGACAAAGCTTTCAGCGTCTCAATAAACTTCCGTTTTTTGTTCGCAGGCATCCCAATTTACAATTCGGAAAATGTCTGAGACTCGTTTTTTTTTCACTCGCACCACGACTCCGGTGTAGGAACTTTGAGGCAGAAAAATTCATGATCGATTGGCGATATCCCTCGAACGGGGTCTCGCAGTCCCATAATTTCGTAATGACCGCTACCTCTCTATTGGTGAAACTTTGACGGATAGGGGCTCCATCTTATCGGAACTTGCCTTTGACAACCACAGTGTTCGATGCTGTCAAGAATAATAACTCGTATGGCAGGGACGCCATCGCGCTGAGCTCGGCAGCGCACTACGGGTGGATCATTTTCCCGAAACGTTCTACGACGATCGGACCGGAGGCACTCTTGACTGAAAACTTGACAAACACAAAACGGAGGCACGCAGTCCCACACAAGAGGCACGCACTGCTGAACCGGAAACTCAAGTGGTGCGATCCCAAGCTTAGATATGCGTTTATCGTGAGCAATGTTCTGCAATCTAGAAATCGTATGATTGTGCGTATCTCGAGTTCACGAGGAATATCGTACGAGAAAAAATCGGGGGTAAAATTGAACAAAAGTAAAGATTTTTTGACGGGAGAGGGTGAATGAGATAATGATGCTGGTGATCTCTGCTTACAGTCAAGCATACCCTGGAGCCTCACTGTATCCGACAATCGGCATCCAGTCTCGCAACTTAGGGTGGACGATATCAACCTCAGCCTCTGTCTGAAGGCGCATCTCTGGTCGTGACACTTCATTGCGGAAGGAATCACTATCTCGGCTCCCTCCAGCTTGCCCCGATCGAGGTGCCGAGATGGGGATGGGAGGCCTCGATGCTTCATTATTATTTATGCTCGTGGATCGTGGGCTGTGAGAGTTTACCACCAAGTTTCGATAGCGGAGTCATGCAAGAAGAACTTATTTCGGCCTCGATCACAGGTTCAGAATCATGACTATCTTGAGCTCAATGTCTTCCCTTTTCGCCTCCCCTTCCCTGTCACTGACACTTTATCTTGGAAAGTGAAGAGAGGGGGTCAGGTGGGAGACCGAATGTATCGCGACGTGCTCGCTATGGAGATCGCGCCATTTCGATAACATGATCGCTGAGTAACTCGAGTGTCCGCTGCGAGTTTATCGCTCGGACCCTCGGAACGTTGGTCATTGCTACTCTGAGTCAGAAGTTCCACTTCGGCGCCGAGGGAAGGCTCCGTCATACGATGCGCGAACGTCGGCAGTCTCGATCGATAATCATTTCCCTTCCGTCGACTTCCCAGAGGGGATCACGAGAACCTCACCTCCACGCAGTAGGGTGATTCGCCTCCCCGAGGCGTCCATCAGTCGGAGAATCTCGCCTTTCAATAGATGATCAGTAATCGGTGGTTAGCATCGATTCAGCGACATAGTTTTGCGATGACAACTGCGTCGTCGCGGTGCTGATCTTGGATGGCTCCAGGCGATCCAGGGTTTCGGTCTGCGTGAGCCCGGTCGGCGAGGGGCGATGCGATCCTACGGACAGCGTCGATCGGAACCTGGACTCTGCCAACCATGATCTATCCTAGCGTATTCCGGCGCTAACACGCTTGTGTAGTATACCAGAGGATCAGGGGTCCGCTAATAAGTCGGAGACGTAATCTCGAGTAGTCCAGGGCATCGATGTTGCGCGAGCTGCTACGGTTTGACGAACCGGGCGTGGTATCGCGTCATCTAGCGGAATGTTCGAGGGGACGGGACCCAACTTCTCGAGCGTCGCGGATCGGTAGTCCTGGGCTAAGATTTGCCCGAAACCACGGCGAAAATCGTCCACATGGTTATTTAATCATTCATCACAGAGCTGATTCCCGCGAGGCAGACCCGCTCACGATTCAGAGTTTGACATGAGCGAGGCCGCACAGTCCAAATCGCAGATAAAGGCTGTAATTATTCAATGGAAGCGAGCAACGATTACTCAGACTCTAAACTCCGAGCACATGCTGCCCCTAGATCCCAACCCACGCCGAAGTCCTGTCCCCTCCCCCGCTGCGGTCATACAGGGTCATCTTCGATCGGCGGTCCAGGCTGAATAGCCGTGGATTATCTTCACGAAGAAGTGCTACAAAACGAAATATTCCGGATCCGGATTCCGGATTCCCTGAATGCTCCCCGCGCGGTAGATTCGACTCCTGCCCATGGTATATGTCAACCCATGTGTCTGCTGCCGTGTTTTGCTAGCAACCCAGCAAACAGTGATCCGCTTATGACAGCTAACGTGAAAATCGAACTCCCTCAGAAACTACTGGAATCGCGAGCTCGGGGAGCTCGGGTGCCCGTGGAAAGCTCCTCATAAGTCGCTTGCAAACTCAATAGCTCCAAAATGGATATCCGGCGTATGGAAACCCAAGAAAAAGTAGACCTCTCCCGAAAATACTTCCTAGGAGGATGCTTCTTCCTTCCGTTCCTCTGGGCAGTGAATGCCGTTTGGTTCTTCAAGGTGAGTAGAAACTTTGGATCCGAATCTCACCGATTCCAAAGCTTCCGGAAGCTCCCCCGTCTCGATAAGTCCGGGAGGGAGTCCGCATGAGTCGGAACGAGAAACTGACAGGAGGCATAAGAGCAGCTCTCCTTGTTTTGACAACTCTGTGGCAACGTTCCCTGTTCACGATCGACCTTTGGAGCTCTAGAGACGATTCAGGATTTCCCGGTGAACTCTCAAAAGTGATAATGATTCACGGTGATGCATTTGTGAAGATGTTTTCGTGTGCCGTACATGATCATTCTTGATTCGGTCGGCGCCGGCGCGGCGATCCTTTGGACAGAGGGAGGCGAGACATCCCCAGACAATCCCTGACAGAGCGATGATGGATCCTCATTAGCATGCGGGATACGGGGAGTTTCTTCATAAAGCGCCATCGATGCACCCGGTTGCTCGAATGACATTCGTACATCTCGTACCTTCCATTTTGTCGGGAACAGACGTCACACAACGCTCCGCGGCTCTGAATCAGAAACTCCTCTCTTTTTTCCAGGACGCTTTCGCGAAAGAATCATTCCCCGGCCAGAATAAAATCCGATCAAACGTCGTGAAGTCAGCTATCGGCGCGGGTATATGGCTCATCGTCCTGATCACATGGAATGTGATTTTCCAGATAAAGCGCCCACAATGGGGCGAGTTCGGCGACAGGTTGTCAGCTATCATACCACGAGGAATAGCGTGATCGAAGACTCTGTCAGATGAATCGTTCGATCCTTGTTTATTAAAAAATGATACCGTATCTGTTGATCACCGACTTCTGATTTCGCGCCACCTGTGGTTATCATCAGCTTGTTCAGATTATCGCTCACGGGTCGCTCGGAGAGGGCTCTTGAGGCCGTCGTTGGAGAAGCCCTCGTCTGGGAAGCATCCCAAAATAACGCTGGGTCATCGACCAAATTTTTGCTCGACGAACATTCGGCAGGGATTCCATTCGGAATTATCCAATGATAAGTCAAATATTACTACTATTACCCTACTCTAAAGTTGTCGCTCCAGGTCTGATTAGGAATTATCCAATTAGGTAGGGGGGGGGCGAATATTCATTCCGGTGTCAGGAAGATCAGAGCCATAGTCTCTGTGTGGACAGTCAACGATCTGCCGATGGTTTGCCTTGCCAGCGCGCGAGAATTTCGGAGGAATCCTCGATGGTGCTGGCGTCAAAAATTATTGGTCGAGATCGCGGTCAAGTAAGGCGCGCGAAATCGACGCGATGCGAGACCCAGAACAGAAATTTCTGCTCTCAAAAACTGTTGCGGCTGGTCGGCCTGAGCTGGCTGTAGCGCGTTGTTCTCTCTTCCACTGAAACGTCAGCTTACCAAGCGCCGCTGCCGGTTGACTACACAAGCAGAGTCATATGACTTAGTCGCGTGCTCCGCACTCTTCATCGCGCTGCCTAAGTAAAGCATCGGAGCCTTTGGAGTGATTGTGTGCGAGGAACTGGGCAGAAAGGTAGGATTTTTCCCGCTGTTGTCTCCAAAACTTGCTTGCTTCGGCCAGGAAATTAGAGCTTCTGCTCGGTAGTGATCCGCGTCCGACCGCCCAAAATCCGTCGTGGGTCAGCCGCTCATTCTCCAGCTCAGCGGACAACTCGCCGGGAAAAGCGACATGTGAGACGCGATCGCATCATTATTCGGAGAGCGGTTTCGCGAAACGCGGAGAGATGTTTCCTTCCTTCGTTTAATTTTCAATAATGGAAGGTGTCATGGAGAGATACACTCGAGCGTTGGTCGGCGGCTTTGAACGAACGGCTCCGACACGACAAAGACGACCTGAAAGGTTTTGATCTTTTGAGTGATACGTCAAATAGGTTACAGAGCGAACAATTAGTTTTGACGCGGGGAAAACACTCTGCAGTGGTTGTGTTCGTGTATCTCCTGGAACACGGGATGCACCTGCTGCAAATCAGCTCCTTTCACTATCACGAGTAGAATTCACTTATCTAATGGATCGAATCACGTGACTGTCGACGAGGACGGGGCACCTACCCTCGAGGACAGGGCCAATAACACCGAGAGGGAAATGACATTCACCTCTTCGGTAATAGATGTGGGCTTCGTCCTTCTGAGAATTACCCTATGGAGCTCGAAAGTCGTACGGCAGGACTTTTCCAACGGCTTACCTCACTTCTTCTGCTTCTCTCCTCTGTGCGCGGAAGATGATTCCGTAGATTATTCCTTACAGATTAGTCGGGACGTGAACGCTCCTACATTGCAGATTCCCTTCACGCTGTATAGGAATGCAGAATGTCTCATGATGATCATATTTATAAGAGAGCCGCATATCATCGAGCACCGAGAGTTCTCGACCCCCTGAATCTACGGCGGGATGACCTTTAGGTATTCAAACGCCGATTTGCCTACGCCGAGCGTACGCTCGGAGGCCCGCAGTTGCTGCCGTGGACCATTGAATAACGTCATGAGGAGGCAAGCTGGCCGAACCGCTGGCTAGCTTTCCATATTGGAGGGGCCAAGGCCGCCGAAAGCTCAAATGGTTCACGGGAAGGGGTGCTTTGGAGTGGCGCCAATAACCCGGAGCTCTGCGGAAGCGAGAGCGTAGGTGCAGTACAGGCTCACGTCACGTCTAGCCACGCTCGACAGGCGCAGGAATGTCTTCCAGTGTTCGAAAGAGTGGGTGATTTCGTCCCGATGAGCGATGGCTGACCGATCGGACCTGCCGCTTAGCAAACCAGGGGTAAGCAGAACAACGAAAAGCACGAAAGTTTTGAGAAGAGTGAGCTTCAGGCTCATCCTTTGGATCAGATTGACGGCTGAAGGCTTCGTGCTCTGCCTAGACTCGTGGAAGGGAATCGCTCGCGGGCATGAGAACAATTCTGAATTGAAGTGGTAAACAAGTGTTGGAGACGCTCGGAGGCCGCAGAACACAAACCGTCCCTTCTGGCGAATTCTGTGACGGGAAACTTCTCTGGAATTCGAGATTCTATCGACTCGCGGTTTTTCCCCCGACAGTCCGAGGCGCAGAACTCTCGCGGATTCGCGTCTGAGCCTGAAACGTGGCGGCCTCGTGGTGGTGACCACAGAGAACTCTATTTTTGGTCATTTGATAGTGAGACGAAACGTGCACAGAGCTAAGTCGGGACCCTTACCGTCTCTCGACTGAGTGAATGATGATGAATCCACCACCTGTTCGAAAGTGAGGAATTCCTAACCGATTGAAAACCCGACCGCGCTTTCAGAAAAGCTAAACAACTATGAATGCGAACTACGCCATCAAAGAGGAGCAGAACGATCAGGTGCGTATTTTCCGTTGAATGAATCCCTTGTCCCTTGTCAACTCTGCGAAGTAGCTCACAAGGAGAGAACTTCGGTGATAATCCCGTGCCCGAGTTATTGCGCTGATATTCCCCGGAGAATATCTTCTCCGACTATTTCGTGAAAATGGCTCGTCCGGAGGAGAAACTACAGGATTCATGTATCCAGATCTTGGAATGCTCCGAATAATATATCCTCGCTCGTCAAAAGGTGCTGCAGGAGTTCATGGAGACTGCCCAAACCTATAGGAGGCTGTCAACGACCAACCGCCGAACTTCGATCGTGGACGAGTTCGTGAAGGATCAGCGAATGGGTGAGTAGGAGTCGGCGTGAGCCCACTCCAGCTTATTAGAATTAACGGAGCGTTCCGTCATTCACCCGAGGCCCTGATGCGGCAATTATTACTCCAATGAGAGCCGGTTCGATAAGCGACAATGCGCGGAATCTACGCTGAGAGCTGAGGTTCTCCTGGACGAGATTCACTTGACATATCGCATGAAATCGGTGGAAGACCGTCTGCAGTATTGCATTCTGTGAACGAGGAGGCGTCCACTGGGGTTTCTCTGTGCCGTCAGTGTTCGCTCTGACGGTCCAATCTAACGAGCGTGCAGGAATAGGAGCGTCGCAGGCCCAGATCGAGTAAGACCTGCTGCGAACGTCTATATTCATCTCTCATAGCATGCACGCCCCTCTTGCGACTCGGCGTGCATTCTCAATATTTGCTGCTCACACCCTCTCGTCAGAGAAGGTCAGACCCTCCGATAGGAGAGGGTTTGACCGTTATCCTGTGAGTGGGGCTCATCCATCCGATTGTTGTTTCCGCGCTGAATTCTGACGACGGAATTGACTTCCACCCTGACTGAGAAATTCAGCTTCGGAACGTTCAATATTTCCACGGGTCCGGCCATTGTCGCGAGGAGCTGGACTTTCGAATCAGCAACTTCCGTGAAACCTTTCGTGATCCCGGGAGTCGATATCGTCCCGGGGAGTCGCTAGAGCTTCACAGTCTCGGATGGATTGAGGAGTCACGAGCGATGAGATCTCTGGTGAACTATTCTCCCCGATTCAAATCCGTCTCGATTGCACTGCCTTCCGAGCCTTCCAGCTCTCGGCGACGTCCATCGGAGAGATGCAAAGCATAAAATTATCGCGATAGATAATTTCGATTCCGATTCTCGCAGCGGTTGCCGGAAAAACGACCTAAGCTTCAGTCCGCCACAGCTTATTAGGTTCTATCATTTATCGTTTCGATGCATAGCGAGCGCTTCTGTTTGGACTTTCGATGATTAGAAGTATACTCTTCCCCGGATTCGCTTCCGGGGACGCTTCAACGTACGCTCATCATGATCGCATATCGTCGATAAGCGGACATTTATCGGTGAACAAATCCGCGATCCGAGCAATATTTTCTCCTCGATACTAATCCATCCCTCCGTAGGCTCGCTATTCCAAAGCAGCCTACGCGGATAAGTACAAGTTTCGGCGCTCATTGCTTAAAGTCCTCCCAGTGACGCCGCTGGTTGGTCAGCTGACACTTCACTCTCATTCACTCGATGTTGAGCTCTGAGCCCTCTCGAAACGACTGAAAAGACTCGGCATTGCTGCTCTGCACCGCATCTTCTCGAGGATCGTAGTTCGCTCCAGCTCCTGAGCTGTTGGAGAACGCGTGTTGCTAGAATCCTCCGTGGACCCGAAGCACATCTCCCCTCTCTTCGTTGGTAGCTCAGAGATTCACGTGATCTAAGGAGCTCCGTGAGAAATACTGCGGCAAGATGTCGACCCGTCAACCAAGTTTCGACCAAATGCTCTCGAGTATGCCTAGAGACATCGAGAAAGGTAGAATTCTGTCCCAATCTGCCGCTGTGATCGATCAGATTCTCGAATACCCAAGCGGAGGTCGCTCGATTCGGAGGGATTCTGACTCCCATCCAAGTTTTACGCAGTGACTCGCGCTGGGAGACTTCCGTGATTCCGAGGTTTTCGTACCTTGGAGTCGTACGGGGAAGTCGCGTGACGTCCCCGCAGCGGATATCGACATCCCTCGAGCTCTTATTATCATGGAACTGACTCATTTTCCAGGCGTTGTGACAGCCAACAGCCTCCTCCATCAGAAGGCTCACGAGATCAAACAGCAAGGCGTGAACTGGACCACATACGAACAGTAAGTTGCGATCCAATGATTCCTAGGTTTCGAATTGGACTTTGGTGTAGTTTCGGTTCATTGGAGTTCTCCCTGGAAAGTCTGAGCTAAGAAAGGGAATCGTCGTCCTCAGATTGCACTTCATCAATCCGGAAGACTTCCAGTTTATCAAAAATTACGAAGCAGCTGGAACGCCGGAGAAGCGCACGGCGCTGCTGGCCGATGAGCAGGTAGGATAGCGTTTTCTTAATCTCTCTTTTTACGTTGCGGATGAAATCGTCCACCGAAATCGCCTCAAAGATGAGGCGTGCGATCACTTCGATGGTCGAGGACGTCCTCGAGATCCGTCCGATCGAAATTCCTAATTCAGAAAATTCTTCGCTTCAGAATGGACAACAGTGCGCCAAAACGTTATGCGTTCTCCTCGCAAACGTATCCAAAGATCAGACCGTTCAGTATCTCTTGATATTGATCGATGACATGTTCGAGGAAGATATAAAACGCGTCGAGATCTTCCGGGAATGGACCCGCAAAAGGAAGGAGTCGGTGTTCGCTCCGTTTCTCAATCTCCTGCAGAGACCGGATCGCTTCATCGTGAACATGGCGGCTCGCATCGTCGCGAAGATCGCTTACAATTCCAAGCCCCGTATGGAAGAGCCCGAGCTCACGAAGTACCTCTCTTGGCTCAAGGAGCAACTCAAGCTGCCCGTAGGTGTACCCCCCGCATCGAATTTTCCACGATCGTAGCTTGTTTGGTTTCATTCGACGAATCGGTACCTCAACGACCAGGGAATCGCAAGTTGAAAGTTAATTCAACCTTATCCATCGACAGAACAACGAATACGTCCAGTCTGCTGCTCGATGCCTCCAGATGATGTTGAGAATCGACGAATACCGTGAGCCCTTCAGCCAAATCGAAGGAGTTCAAGTGTGAGTAGACCGGAATCCGTATCTTTGGGGACCCCCGGGACATCCTCTCACTTCCTCGTTAAGACGCACTGATGCATAGGTGGTGTTCCTACTACGAGACTCTTTCCTCTGCAGCATCGTCGAGGTCCTTCGAACTGGAAACATGAACTTCCAAATGCAATATCAGTGCACGTTCTGCCTGTGGGTTCTGGCCTTCAACCCAGGTCTATGCGCTCGGATGAGCCGCCTTAACATCGTTCCCGTTCTCTCGGACATACTCACGCAGAGTCAGAAGGAGAAAGTGACCCGCATCGTCCTCGCAACCCTCAGGGTTCGTGTTCTAATTCTCTTACGGTGAATATTATTATCGGTCCAACGAATAGCTCAATGCAAGCCGGGAAATTCCGGAGAGCCTCCGACTTCGACTTAGCGCGATTGTTCCCCGACAGAACTTCCTCGAGAAACCCCAAGAACCGAGCATCGTTCGCGAGAACTCCATCGCCATGATCCAGTGCAAGGTCCTGAAAAATCTCGTGAACCTCCAGCAAAACCCGCGTGAGGATCCGGACGTTGTCGACGACATCGACTATCTAGTGGAGAAATTGCAGATTCTGGTGAGTGCTGTGGTTATTTCCTAGGAGTCTGTTGGATACGCGTCCTGCGAAACATCTCTCCTCATCTAACGCCGCACATTTGGGGGACTCATAGCTCTATTATCACCCTGCAGGAGCAAGATATGTCATCATACGACGAATACATGAACGAAGTCAAAACCGGACGTCTCGAATGGTCACCTGTGCATAGCTCTGAGAAGTTCTGGCGAGAAAACTCCGAGAAACTCAACGAGAGAAACTACGAGCTCCTCAAGATGTTGATTTCCCTTCTCGAGAGCGACGACTCCCTCATCGTGACCGTCGCGGCTCATGACCTCGGCGAATACGTCCGACATTATCCTCGTGGAAAACAGTGAGTACGGTTTTTCTGTGGAATCCGGACCGAACCCACTTGCATATACACAAAGACACCCCATTTGGAGAGCACGAGTCAAGCACCATCAAAATTCCAGGGTCATCGAAAAACTGAACGGGAAACACCGTGTTATGCAGCTGCTTTCGCACAGCGATCCCAACGTACGCTATGAAGCTCTGCTCTGTGTACAGAAGCTTATCGTCCACAAGTGGGAGTACCTCGGCAGACAGATGCAGTCTGAGCAGCCAGCGAAGAAAACACCGGCGGTCCGAGCTAATTGAATTATATAACGAGTTGGATCCACAGTGACTGGCCTCCCGTCTCGGCTCGACTTTTCATCCACACGATTCTAAACTCCGATTAGAGAGCACGAGCGAGGGTGATGTTTTTCGTTGGAGGTCCCTGGCAGAATCAGGTTCGATTGCTGTTGCTTGAGTAGATGACCCATATCAATGATTCCAATGGTCCGTGTTAAGTACTACGCACATTGTTTCCTGCGAAAATCTCTTCTGACCGACCTTAGAGCCTAGTCGATGCGATTGATCGCTCGTTGGGGGGATGTTTGGCACGATCGATTCTAAAATCCGAGAAGAAGAGGTTCATTAGTTCATCTTTCGAGTCTTTATTTTCTGGTCTCCGTCAGAATGCGGAATCCATTGGCAGAAATCAGACGCGACGAACCTCTGAGGATATGAAGCTGAGAACGATTAGGATATGAGAGTGATCTGAGAATGGAGCAAACAGGGCCGTTCCTAATTCTTCAGCTTTAGTTCAACTCTCCGCCTCCGACAGTATTAGCGATTTTCGGTATCGCCTTCGAATGTTGTGTTATATCTGTTGCAATGCGCATGACTGACTGACTAAATACTTCCAAGTATGAGGAATAAACGTTACTTGATGCGAGTCAGAACCATCTCTCCGAGGGAAACCCCCGCTCTGTGGAAGCGTGTCCTGTCGGCAATCCCATCTGATGAGCCTCCTCTCGCCGCCCGAATCCGGAGGCCGTCCCGACCTTCAGTCGTTTCACATCAGACGCCGGATCGCCTGCGGAATTTGTTGAGCTTGAGGCTCATCTGGATGTCTCTCGGAAAGTTTCGCGACTCCAATCCCGGATTCCTAATCCATTCCGCGCGCTAAGGATCTACACAGATCCAGGAAATGGAAAAACGCACTCGCGAGAAACTTTGTCGGGCTGGGCCGTTGCGGGTTGGCAAGATGCTGGGCCTTCTTGCGCAAAGTATCGTCGGCGCGGTATCACCCGATGCTTCGAAGCATAGAACATCGAAAGTGATCGAGCGGCACAGGATGATCGCAAGTCAGAGTGCCGTCAGGTTCCGCCTTGCTAAGATCGAAGCTGTCTAAAGGCGAAGTAGCGCGCGACAGCTTGGCGGTTCTTGATTCACCTTCGGAGACGCGCGACCATCAGCTTCAGGAACTTAAATGATAACTCCGAGGAACAGCTCGCGAGAAGCTTTCTCAGAATACCTACATGGAACTCTGCAAGTTGCTTGGTTATTGTCCTTTATTGGCAAGAGAACAAAAACAGATGGGTTAGGATTCCGGAAACCGACCAGAATTCGCGAAGTCCAAGGAACGGGCTCGCACCGCGTTTACGAAGATCACTCCGCGGGTTTCTCGTCCTCCTTGTCGGAAGCCTCCTTCTTCTCCTCCAGTTCTTCTTCACCTAATATAATTTCTTCCTTCGGTTCATCTTTTTCTTTTTCCAGGACCTTCTGTTTCTCTTTGTCTTTGAATTTCATTTCTACACTGCTGACGCTGCTGGCGTTGCTAGCGCGCCGCGCTAGATTGGAATCCGTGAGCACTTTGGCTTTGGCTTCGAAGAAATCCTTCGCTCCGGAAACTCCGGCCTGGGAAACGTCGATAGAAGTCATGCGGGCCAGCGTAAGCAGACCGCTATCCGAAGAGAGCTCTCCGTCCCTGGCTTTCTTGAAGATCAGCAGGAACTGTGGAGTGGGAGATGTCATTCGATCATGATTTGATCCGATGTATTTTGCCTGAACAGCCCGTGGATCGGATTATCCGCTCCCGGAGAGAGAAGAATCCGATCCAAAGCGTACGTCCGAATATCTGATGCACAAAGGCATTCTCCGACTCACCTCTGTGAAATTTATGATACCATCGAAGTCGGAATCGATCTCCTGGATCATGTTCTTGAGTTGGACGTGAGTCTGCGGCGCGCCGAGGATCTCCATCATCCTCTTGAGCTCCATAAAGTCCAGAACATGATCACCGTTCACATCGAACCTGAATTTCGGGGGAAACTCGAATACGAGCTCGGTGTCGACTGGGACGGAAGACCGTCGGGCAAGTTCGAGCGGGCGGCGTATGGGACGAGTCCGTATACGGAAGCGGCAAAACTCCCCCCACGCTCCAAGGAAATGGTATCGAATCGTAGAGGATGGAACTTACTTGTCGAATTGTTGCTTGTACTTCTCGATCTCATCGTTGTCGAATTCCTCGAAGGGGTTGAAGTGCTGGAGGATCTTGAGCTCATGATGAGGTTGGTTCTTGGCCATGTTGTGCGAAGGCGGTTCAGTGCGAAATGGACTGCTCAGACAGAAGCCTGCTGACTCTACTAAATGTCGTTTGTGAGCTGACGGCCACATCAAGTTCTTCTCTCCGAGAGGAGGTTCATGCTTGAGCAAGTCGGCAATAAGCTACTTTACGCGTGTTTACATGTCGTAGCGAGGGAGTGAAAGTAGGTAGGTATGCTAAAAAGACCATGGCATCCGGAGTGGGCTCGTTCGCTCGCGACGTCCCGAGGGGAGGAACGAACGTCTATTTCTCTGGTCGTTTTCGGGATGGAGTCCCGGGCGGAAGGAAGCCCACAGGGATTTCCGGAACCGACAAGAGCTTCGCTGCTCCTTCTGCATAATTAGGATGGATGACTGGCCGAATCGCTCATCAGCCTGATGACCTTGGCACTTCACAGAATCGCTACCTTTTCCAGTTCTGTAACTATCGACAGAAGACTGCGAAGTTTTCGAGCAGCTGAGCGCGCCTCCTCGCCGCATGACAAGATAGGTACACCTTAGACCTCAGTTAGGTAATGCTCATCGTCGGGTGGGACGATCGCGTAGTGCTGAGCTGCGTCGGAACATATCCGCGGGAAACCTATCGCTGATGGAGCTTTCTCGAATCCCTGGTATCTCGCCTGACCTGTCGGAATCGTGAGACTACCCTGCCAAGTTGAGACTTATCCGATCAATCGAGAAGGGGAACTCCCCGAATTCATGGAACCGTCGACGTTTGAGTCCATAGGATTTTCATTCTGATCGAGACGCCATGATGGATACAATCCACATCCATGTCCAGAATTCTCATTGAATAGAGAGTGAGACAACTTCCATCAGAGTGGAGGCATAAAGATCGTCCAAATCCCACGGAGTGAACCGATGGAACCGATGAGCTGCGGGATGAATGGGCCCGATGAATTCTATCCGTTGGATAAGCCTGAAGCCAACGGAGCTTCGGTGGAGACCGACTGATCGTCTCCTGCAAATAGCTAGGCGAGCGCTGCCGAGGATGAAGGGACAGCAATTAGCGTATTCCAAAGCGGAGTGTGAACGTGATCGCGCGTTCCGTGGATTCTCTCAAAAGATCGCCAGGGTGGATTCCTCGATGCTTTCGAGCGACTGGCAGCTCCAGCGGTAGGTGTATCACCGAAACCCATATCGCTCCTTTATCGATGAAAAGTGAACCGGGACGAAGATTCGTTAACAAATCCTCTAACCTCTAACCAATAGAAGACGTAACATAGCAGTATTTTCTGAGCGCACAGGAATCCGTCGGAGTGTTCCGACAGAAAAATTCTCGGACAGATTGAAATCCTTGTCGACTGATCGTTAGTCCGCTAACTCAGGAAGATTATGCCTCTCAAAGAATCGCGAATATGGGGATTAAAATGAGTTTTTAATTTTATTCAAGTCCATCATACGGAGTATACCGGCTCGGAAATGAATCGATTGGTTCGCTCCATGTCATAGAGGTGTAGCGGACATTCTAGCTGTTCTTCTGTGGAACCTTTATGCAAACCTGTAATCATTCACAGATACATAGGTCAAATGAAGCTTCAATTAGGTATCTCGAGGGCGGCTGGAAGAGGTCGGACTCCCGTCAAAAGCTTTCAACTCACGGTTTTGACTTCTGTGTAAGCTTGCAGACCGTATTCACCGAGCTCTCGCCCTAGACCAGACATCTTGAATCCACCGAAGGGAGCTTGGGCAGCCAGAGCATCGTAGCAATTGACCTGCATGAGCGCGAACGGATTGCATTTAGAAAAAATAGCGAGTGCCATGCCTTCAATCTTTGTCGATCAAACAAATTGCAGCATCCTCAACTATCTCGAGTCCTTACCCAGACAGTCCCAGCCTGTAGAGCATTACTCATATACATTGCTTTGTCGAGATCCTTGGTGAAAATCGCGGCTGCCAGGCCGTATTCCGAGTTGTTGGCCCTTCGGACGAGCTCTTCCATGGATTTGAACTTCAGAATTTGCATTACTGGCCCGAAGATCTCTTCACGAGCTATCCGCATATTATCCGTAACATCGCCAAACACCTGCGGAGGGCAAAAGTGGATGTGACGCTCTTTAGCGAATGATGTCGGTCAGAAGAAGCTACCGTTCCGATCCCCGAATTGGACTGACCGTCGGCTGCACGAAGTATCCTTTGCTTCCAGCGCGGACTCCTCCAGTGAGCAACTTGGCTCCATCCTTCTTGCCGGAGTCGATGAGTTCGAGGATTTTATTCATCTGGGTTTCATCGACCTGGGGACCCTGAGTGGTTTCCTGAGCGAAGGGGTCTCCCACTACCCGCTGCTTCGCTAGCTCGACGCTGCGCTCGACGAACTGGTCGTGTATTTTCTCCTGTTCCGGCAACAGAAAATTTAATTGAAGTCACTCTCGCTCCGTAGCCTACTTGGAGCGAATATATGTCTGACTGAGCGTTGATCAATCACGGATGAGCTCACCTCAACGAATATTCTCGTTCCGGCACAACAGCACTGTCCCTGATTGAAAAACAGCCCGAAATGAGCGGTCTCGATAGCTTGATCGATATCGGCATCGGCGAACACCATGTTCGGACTTTTGCCGCCGAGTTCGAGAGTGACCCGTTTGATGTTCGATTCAGCTGCAGCTTTCATCACCAGCTGGCCAACTGAAGTTGAGCCTTCAAAGGGGGAAATCGATTTTTCATTCGAGCGAATCCCGCGGGAGAAATCGCGGCGGATTTCCTTCAATATTAGCCTGACTCACCGGTGAACGCGACCTTGTTCACTTCAGGATGACAAGCGATGGCTTGTCCTGCCGATGGTCCCATCCCGGGGAGAAGATTGACGACCCCCGGAGGGAAACCGGCCTCCTTGATGAGCTGCCCTACGTACAGCGCCGTCAGAGGAGTCTGTTCGGCAGGCTTCATCACCACAGTGTTGCCTGCAAGTTCGTGGAGGGAAACGACTGACTAATTTTTTTGAACGATTTTCTCGGGGAAATCGAGTCTTGATTGAAGAACGTCCGAATTATTAATGAGTGGGGCAGAGCAGATTCTCTTTTGCTCACAACGGGCTTACCCATTGCGAGTGCGGGGCCAAGCTTCCAGGCCTGCATCAAGAGCGGGAAGTTCCACGGAATTATCTGACCACATACTCCGACGGGCTCGTGCTTCGTAAAAGCAAAATACTCCCCATCGATTGGGATAACCTTCCCGTGGTTCTTGTCAGCGTAACCGGCGTAGTATCGGAGACACCGAATCGACAGTTCGAGATCAACGTTGAAAGCGTCGTTGAACGGCTTGCCGTTATCCAGCGTTTCCAGGGAGGCGAGATAGACTCTGTCGCGCTCCATCAAGTCAGCCAGGCGATTGAGTAGCACACCCCTCTGGGAAGCGTCCATTTGGCGCCAGTCAGAACCCAATCTGAAAGCCTCGCTCGCAGCCTTGACTGCCTTGTCGACATCTTGCTTGTCGGCCTCAGAAACCTCGGCGATTTTCTCGCCCGTCGCCGGATTCACGGTGTCGAAGCGCTTCCCGGAAGCGCTATTCACGAACTCATTGTTTATGAAGAGCTGGAAAATCGAATGATGATCGGGTGTTATAATTATTCCATAAGCCGGCCTGTACCGGAGAGTCGCGATAGTAGACCGATTCTGATTGTTTCCATTTTGCCTCTGCTTGAATTTCCGCGGAGCGAGGAAACCTGTATTTGACGACCGACACCGATGGATGCCCGAGCCTGATAAGGGATCGCATTTGCGGACGCGTTCGTCTCATACATGCTGCTAACATTGGCCCTCCAACGTCTCAACATCGAACCGGGAACTCGCCTCCGGGAGGCAGTTCCGGGAGAAGACTTCTCCGATTTCGCGTGCTTGGCGTAGACCTCAGTGTCTCTGTGTGAGATCTCTCGGAATATCGGCGGAGCATTCCGTTAAGGACCGAGCGTCATGGAAACACCGATGTCGCCGGAACCAAGCGAGATGTACTAGCGGAAGTCATCACTCAATCCAAGTTCGGATGAGAGCGACCTCCACGAAGCTTTGCCGATGGTTATTCGACATGTACACCGAAATTCGATCGTTTGCGCTCAGCGCGAGCTCGAAGTTTTGTGGAGACTACTGTCAGAAAAATCAATCATGAAGCCAAGGGCCCAGCGAGCTGTACCTGTGTCACTCTGATGTCTGGACTCCGGATCGGTTGCACGTTGGCCTGAGCGCTGTAGGAACGCGCGAAAGCCGTCAGTCTGGAGAATCGGTGCATAATTCCTCGTGTCGACGTCGACGAAAACAAGTCAGGCTTCAAACTCTCAGCTGCTCGTGGGAGAACCGGCTGAGCGCGGCGCTGTGGTAGTGGAAAGGCGAGAGAACAAAACAGGCCACCGGCGAGAGAAAAGGCAAGCTGCTCCTTCTGTATGCAAGGCTCTGCAGTCCCTCCTTCCGCCAGCGTTCAGCTGATCCGCAACATCCTGGCCAGACCCGCTCAGCATGGCCTAGGATTGACGTCAAATGAGCCAGGACGATCCTGATCCAGTATTATTAATCATCGTTCTTTACAAAGTTTATTACCCTCGGAGAAAATGTGATTCCTCCAATTTCAAGGAAAAAGGGGATAATTTCAAGGCTCGTCTGCAAGCTTCGAAGTTCGATATCGTCTGATCCTTCCTAACGGAGACTCCTCTGGGACTAAAAAAAATACTGACTGATACGGAAGAACGCTCCTTTGAAATACATAGTATAGAAAATCAGATTTTTATTTTGATTGAGCCGACGCCGATGCATGCAACGTTTGTTCCTCTATCATCCGGCATCGGGAGCGGAATGGCTCTAACAAAAGTGGGGTGAGTTTCCCAACTCCTATTCCATTCAGCGTTCGGCGCCCAGACATCCTGGGTCAACTCGCTCCGATTCAGGGAGCCGACGATTCCCTTAGGCGACCTCTCGATTTTCAGAACTCAAGACTGACAAGCATGGGTTTGTGGGTTGTCCGCGGGAGATGAAGCGGGCTCCTTCAACGCTCGAGAGTCTCCCAATCGATCTTCTCGTCCCGATCTCCTCACAATGACTTTTTTTCTCTCATCTACAGTATCAGCTATCGTATGTATATTTACTTCTCCCTTGACGGCCCTTGACGATTTTTCACGGGGGCAGAGTGTGCGCGACTCTTCAATCAACGGCATCTTAGAAACAGGAATGGTCGTTCCCCCCCAATATTCAACCGGAGCCTAATAAGTTGCTATTCTCCTCCTTCGAGTCGATAAGTTCATCTCTTTCCTCCGAAACAATTCCTTCCCAGGAAGATGCCGAAGAGAGAAAGAGCATTCATCTGAAGGGTCCTCCCCTTCCGGTACTGACGGGACCTTCCAGCCTATACACGCTCAAGGGATGCATTGTACGTCATCACGCCTCACGAGGGATACCTGCCCTCGTGGGCTGGAAGCGGAACACCGGACTTGTTCAATTTCCCGCGATATATCCCAAGCTGAGGAATCCGAGCCAGGCTCGAGAGGAACCATTGAGGAGATGTGAGGCATCTCGATTTCTGAAATGCTCTGAGAATTGCACAAAAACGTGCGCAGGCGGGACCCGACAGCGGTGCTCATGTCGACGGTACTTCCGCGGCAGATTCCGAACTTGTCATACAGCATTACGAAGAAAGCCACGCGAAATCAGTGTGTCTCATATTCCCAACATGAGGCAAGGCAGATGGAGGTCCCCGAAATGATTCAGATTCGCATAAGAGTACCTCCTTACAGACAGATGTACAAGACGACCAAGTACATCAAACGACTTCGGAGTCCGATTTAAGACCCGAACCCATGAAGAATCATTCGCATGACTTCTCCGATTTGTGGCACGTGAGCTGCCCCGCTCCCCCAGGGCGAAACTTCTGGCGATTCGGTGATCTAAGCAACATGCGCAATCTCGGAGAGATGAGCTACAGATATATCGCTTGCAATCGCATGGTGTCGACGCACGACCCCGAGGCAGAAAAGGAGGGCTTCGGCAATGATCATGGAGGTCTTGTATCAGAGCATGTTGTCGAACAATCGATCAACTTCTTGAATATCATCTTAATTGGAACACAGGCAAACTCGATTCCTTTCTGCGAAGCACATGCTCCCGCTTCGAATCTTTCCCCCTCAAGTAATTATCGTGACGGAAATCACGCGTGGCGCATCCAAACTCTCCAGAATCCTCCTGAACGGGTCGGACTCCCCACCTGCGATGTATCAGCTGCTGCGCGACTTTCTCATCATCGCGGTAACTATTATCAAAGTAACTCAACAATCATTTCCATCAATCAACTGTGGTCCGAACGGCCATTAACCGATTCTCCTATTTGGCCTAAGCCATCTCGTCACGGCGGACAAAGAGCAAAACAATCCGCTCGAGATGGCAATATTACTCAATTTCCTCTAAAAGTGGACGTATTCCTCGAAAGCTAGATAAGCAGCTGACAGACGCATTATTTCATTGATACGTAGGATGCTTGGTTCGAGCCGGTATGTACAGACCGCCGGAGGTGTCCATTGCTTCGTCTTCCAGAGCTGAAAGCGTGAAAAACTGAATGAGTCCCACCGCTCTGGTATGGGTTTCCAGAGGGACCATCGCTCGGAGTCTGAGATGGTCTCAGAGCTCCGAAGAACAGCAATTTTTACCGGGGATTAGAGGTAACGTGAATGGTATGGCGGATAACCTCGGAGAACGCGCTTTCACAACCACTGTCGGTTCATGACTGGATTTCCGTAATTCGGCGAAAACCGAAGGTGCCACGTAGGTGAAACCCACAAAAACCTGGTTCACTGAGTCCGACAGCATGTTTCCTGTTGACAGAAGACAATACAATGAGAATCGACCCTAATTGAGAATCGAGCCTTGGTCCCCGAATAATTTCTCGTCAATACTCTCGATGCATGTTCCTGAAGGATGCGAAGGAACCTTGTCCTCACCATCATCGGGCGAATCAATCGGGGTTTGTTTGGTGAACTTCGTGTCGAATTGAGACGTATCGTCCTCGCTGACTAGCGGGGGCCTATCGTGAGAAAGGAAGAGAGAATACTCAAACACCCGAAACGTTCTTTCGAAACGTCGAAACGTATCCAGCTTCCAGACTCAGCGCAGAGAGGCATGAAGAACTCACTTGTAAGGGGGCTCGGTATCCCGGGCTATGACCCGATCCCAATTAGTGTTCTTGAAGAATGCGTGCACTTTAATGTCCTCGGCGTCTCCTTGGCCAGCACCAAGTCGTTGTCCAACTTGGCGCCTGAGGAGCCTCCGTAAAAGATCCTTAGCATCTGGCGTAAGATACGGGGGAAGATTGAGCTTACAGCGCAAGATTTTCTCAATTGTTTTCTTCCTGTTCTCCGCCGTGTAAGGAGGTGCGCCCGTCAACATATCGTACATGAGAGCACCCAACGACCACCAGTCGACAGCCTGCGGAGCAGAAATTTTCCGTTGAGATGGTTGGAACCGCACGATCAGCATCGAAAAACAAACGCACGATGGAAATGCCTCACGAACCTTCCCGTGACCTGTACGCATGAGTATCTCCGGTGCCATGTATTCGATGGTTCCACAGAAGGTGTTGGTCATGTCACCTTCCATGATGGATTCTTTGCAGAGACCAAAGTCCGTCAGCTTGACATGGCCGTCGGAGTCCAGGAGAATGTTCTCAGGCTTCAGGTCTCTGTAAATTATGCCTGGAACAGAGAGCGAGATCATGAGACATCCGTCGTTTCTGGTTCGCGTGCCTCTCGAATGAAGTAGCACAGGAGCGAACGATGACTGAATTTCCGCCGTATCTAACCTTCGCGGTGCAGATGCTCCAGAGCGAGGATGATCTCCGCAAGGTAGAAACAAGCTGTGTCCTCGAGGAAGATCCCCTCACGCTCCAGATGCATGAAGAGCTCCCCACCGGAGAGATATTCCAGGATCAGGTAGAGTTTGCCTGAGAAGGGATAAACGATTAGCTTTGGGAAAGAGCAAGCAAAGATCCGATAAACGCCTACGCCGGCACAGAATTCTCATTATTATCCACTGGGTATCTCACCATCGGTCTGGAAAGCATAAATGAGGTCCACAATGAACGGGTGTTTGATACTCTCCAGGATATTGCGTTCCGCCTTCGTGTGAGCCGTGTCTTTTTGATTCCGGACGACGGTGGCTTTCTTGAGGACCTGTAAGGAGGAGATTTGAGACCACAGAGCTCGCGACTCGAGAACACGCATCGACTCGTGGCTTCGGGTGTGGGAAAACATTGGATAAGTCTATTAATTCTTGCCGATGGTCTCGATACACGAAAGCCGCGACTATATCGCAGCTCGACGACGCCGACGCATGAGTCATGAGAGTAGCCATGGACATTCGAATATTTTGAAAGCCGCGCTCTTTCACACCGGATACCACAACTTCGCATAGAATTATACAGTGAGGGTCCGAGATATTTATTTCCGCCCCCCGCTGAGCGATTTCGATTCCCACTCTCGGGTCGGAGCGAAGGACTCCCCAGTTGCTTGGACCTAATCCGTAGGTAGCATTATCTAAGGCTCCCATGCGGAGTCCATGCCAACCGCAAGGTCGCCGGGGAGCACTCTAAATGAACCACCTACCTTCATCGCGAAGATTTTATCGGCGTCGGCACCGGTGATTTTCTTCACCTGGAACGAAAGCAGAGATTCAGTCCCCGAATCACGTAATCTGATGACACCGTCTGACAACGAGACAGCAATCGTTTGGGACGAGGAGTCTTCCGGTATTCGAATTAGAGTAGACAGAACGGTATCCGAAAAAGCCGGACAATTTCTACTCGACAATTCGGACGATGTTCGGATAGACCGAACGAGCTAGATAGAGTGAAATCAAACACACCTGAAAAACTTTTCCGTAGCCTCCTTTGCCGAGAACTTTGAGTAGCTCGAAATCTCTCGGACTGACTTTATTTTTCGGGTTCACAATTTCCGCCGATATGGGAATTTGCTCGACATTCGGACTACTGCGAGAGGATATGATAATCAGCATTAGGAAAAAATTCACGAGTGAAACGGTGTTCACGAATCATCGAGCATCCCGCTCGGATTATAAACAATGCGTCAATCGTAGAATAATCGCTTACTCCATGTCGACGCTATGGGGCTTCGATCTGTCATTGGCGACGGCTTCCTGGAAGCAAGAGATTCTATTAGCGGACGGTTGCCAGCTCCTATGACAGACCCAGCGATTAGATCACTGGTTACCAAGGCATTGTCGGCATAAGAACAGTCTGGTGATAATTATTTACAGCAACGGGGCTTCCGGCGAACTGAATCTACCGACTCCGGACTCGAGGAGTCGCTTTTTTTCCCATCACTGCCACGGGATGAAAACTGCGGAGCGGAGAAATTTTCCCCGAGCGAGACATGCTGAAAGGTTGCGGGCCAGCTCTTGCGGACATTCCGATCTTTGACAGTTGGTCAAGTGCATCGAGGAAGCAGCTGATCCGGTCAACAAGAGAAACGCTCGCCCCATGGAGCCGAGACGTTCATCTCCTGCGTTTCGTGCGCGCTGATTGCTGCTGCCTCCGCGCCGGCCTTGGCCTCCGGCGAGCTCCATCGATGATGGAAATTATGAAACTCGCGGTCGGAAGGAAGAGCTCCGCACGGAGATTTTTTCTCGAGAAGTATTCGAAGCAGGGGTTGTTTACGGAAAACCAGCTCAAGGAATCGTTCGATCCGGGTCGGGGTCGTCCCTGCTTATGTCCTATGAGATGAGATCCTTTTGGAGGACGGCGAGTGCATTTCAACAGCGAGATCATCCGCCAGGCGCGCTTTAGCCTTCTAATCCAATCAACAGGGTTTGAGCGCAACTCTCCGGATAGGCCCTCTGACGTGGACGTCGAATGTCTATCGAAGGAATTTCCCGGAAAGAGAATGACCCAGAGATAATCTTCCTCTCCTCGAATCGGCCGACTCTTCTGTTTCCGGGAAGCATTGAAATCCGGCATTCGCTTCATCGCGACGAATCGAGCGATTTAATCCGAATCATTCGCCTATGCATCGCATATCTGAGGATCTTTGAATCGAGGAGTTCGCAGACACCATATTGCGATATCCATCGAAGGTACGCAGCGGACTGCGTGGCCGTACCGCGGGAGCGTAGATATCGTCAACGGCGTTGTGGCCGCTGTGGCGGTCGACGACCGGTGATGAAGCCGCGTACTTCCGACTGCATACTCGATCGAGAGGCTGTGGAACTCATGTCTCCTGCATAGAACGAAACCCGAGCACCACCCGCATGCTCAGTCGCCTGCCTGTCCGCCCGCCCGAATGAACGACTGAGCCGCAGGTCTCATAGCCAATCAGCCAGGCGGCAAGCCAACTCGGCAATTCTTTCGCGAACCATCAGGCGGCCAATCGCAAATCATCAGTAGGTCAAGCGGCCAGACTCGATCTCCGTGAGAAATGGTTGTCGCACTAACCGGGATCGCGAATGAACAATCGAAAATAAAAAAGAGATCGCTATGGGGAACTCTCCTAATTGTAGCCGAGCCGTCGATACTCACTACTGCTTCCATATCGATGGCATCATCACCGACTTCTTCTTCGGTAACCCCATCCTCGTGCAGCTCCATATCGAAAAGTTCCTGACCGGCCATGCTGAATGATCGAGGTTCCACTTTTCCAGATAGTCTCTCCTCGGTGATAGCTTCCCGAAAACGATCCGGAAGCCAAGTCAATCAGCGAGCCCACCAGAGATGCCGACTACGCTCCGCTAGAAAGGCATTTACGATGATGACGGTGAAATTTGCACCGATGTCCCTCCGCGCTTGGGATTCCGCTGGGAACGCGATCCGAGCGGGACGAACCTCACAGAGCACCACGTTCAAATCTTGGAAGCAACGATGAAAACTCAAAAAACCGCAGCTGGTACTGTTTGTGGCGAGTGGCGACGACGATTGCAGCCGCTGCCGCCGCCTGTGATGGTGGTGGGTGTGGGATTAGCTTGAACAATTGTACCGTAGAGCCGTCGTTCGGAAGAGCGGCGATCCCCCGAACAGAAGGATGTAGACGAGAACTCCGATCGAGGATAACGGCGGTTCAAGTTTGATCAGAATGGAATCTGTCGACTGTGAATCGACGACAATGGTGCTGATGATTTCTGCCTGTAATCCGAATCGGGCGGTCCCTGGTTCGAGGAGAGTAGCGCTTCGGATCCTCGTCTGCCCCGTGGGCGCTGATATATGTACATATATACGGCTGACTGCGCCCCGGAGAGTCTGCACCGATTTCATCGGGGTCAGTTCCCCCATACACTTCTCCCTCTGGGATCGCCCTTTAGCCATATTCTGGGTCCTGTAGTGGCGGTGTAGGGCTTCAGTGGAGACGATGCTGCTCCTCCGTAAATCTTCGGAGAGAGTCAGGAGGGAGAGGATGCGAAGAATAGACGAACCAGAAGGCGGGACGACGGAAAGGCGCTGGAATCGACTCGAAAACGGTATACACGCGCTTCAGGAGGATGCATCTCCATTTAAACTAGATCGGTTTTTTTCGTGGGTGAGCATGCACGACCTCTGGGCTGGAGTAGCTTGTCAGTGCTGAAGTTCACCCACCCGCACGTATTCGGCTCCCTGGCATATTTGGAATTTCGGGAAGGAAAGCTTCCCGACACCCGACACATGCTCGCGCATACGAGCCCCGGCTCAACCCAGCATGGGGCAAACCTGGTCTCTGTCTTTGCTTTGGTTCATCGATTCGCTGGAGCCCAGGCCGATTAGACTCCCGTAGTCGACATCAGCTCGCGCTAAGGATCATTGAAAGCGGTTCATCATTCCCTTCATTCTCACGGAATCCATCGTTTATTCATGTGACGGACACACGTATTCTTTCATCTCGCTCGGATGTCTCCGAAATCGAATTCCGACGGAAACCTCTATCCAAATCACAAAATTTCATCACCGTTGATCGAGGTGGAGGTTCTCACGATCTCCGCGAACTCGTCACATTGCTTTCTCCAGGAGCAGGCACAGTTAGAGACATCAGATCCCTGACGACACTATCAGTACAGTCAAGTCTTCCTTAGTTATAATTCTCGGGAGACCGATTTCGGAGATAATTATAAGTTATAAGTTAGCGAAGGCTCATGTTTTTTCCTGTTCTTCCTCTTCCAGCGATATTTTATTAATATTTCTATGGTGAAAGTCTATGTTATAAGTTATCGGAGCGCTGCTGGAAATTGGTTCAAATTATAACTTAGCGAGGGTTTTTAATTTAGGGCGGGTTCAATTTAGGAAGACTTGACTGTATCGACATTTTGCCCTCAACAAAAGCCCGGTAGCTGCGGGGTCTGACATCCTGGAGTTCATATGTCGTAAGCATCAGGTGATTCTGCTGTCGCCTGATTTGGCTTGTCTTGAATTGTGATGAGCTCCAAATATCATCTGGTCATTCGGGTCCTTAGCTCTGCGAGTGAATCGCGAAGCAAACTATGATACTCACAGCAATATATTGCATTTGTCTGATGACTTCTAGAGCCGTCCTCGAGGCCCACATTCTCTCAATAAACTTTCTTCAGCAGTCATACTTTCTTCCAAGACCTCGGACTTCTCCTCGCGCGGAATTATGCTCGCAGGTCTGTATAGTCGGAATCTGTCGCTAGATATAGCATTGAGATACGTCTGTACCTCAATTTTCCGTCTGAATGACAATCAATAAATACATATCACTTCGGGAGACCTTTGCTCTAAGCTTTGGCTACCTTCTTGACTTAGGCGGTTTTGATGCTTCACTTTGACCGCTTCAATTACCGAGTTTTACAACGAATCAGTGATCACGATAACAAAAATCCTCGAGAGGTTTTTAAGGAGCTCATCACAGAGCTGCGTGACCCCAAGCTCATTCTCGTGTTGGGTTTCACCCCTCGAGAAGGACCCTCGACAAATCTGAATCTCAACGGAGTGGAGGGAATCCTAATCAATGCCAACCCCTGTTTTTAGCTGTGTTCGACTTTCCCACATTTGTCGCTCTTTCCCTTCGATTTGGGAACCCATGGATCCTATTAAAACGCGTTATCCCTCCTCGTTTCATGTACACACCGTCAATAATTTATCTACGCTGCGTACAACCAACCGGAGGCAGCCGGCGGATCGTCGTCTGAGCGACCAGAGAGATCACTATCAAATACATATAGATAAATAAGCTCTCAAGTTGATAAGGTGCTGATTTCTCACTGAGTCGTGAACCGTCACCGACTTGTTGCCACAAGTCTTCGCTCGACATCGTACACCAACGGAACGCACGGCGAAAACGAAGAGTTGAACATCTCTCCTGAGGAAGCATTCGCTCTCAACCAGCCAGCTTCGTATGTAGTTAGTCCACCAGAGATGTGCTCGAACGAGCCTTCAACGCACAGACTCGGTGGAACGCGCCAAATTTGATGGTTGAGATGGACAACGCGTAAGTTTCCGCTTCGGTAGTCTCAATAAGTGCATCTGTAGTCGCGCGAAATCGGGTCGATCGTGGGCTTGGAAGGCCCAGCACGACATGAGAATCTCCTTGAAATCTACCGTCGATTGGAAATTCGCCAAGGACGGTTTGATACCTTTCGAAACTTGATAGATAACACTCTCTGGAGGTTGCCGACGGAAAGGCCAAGTACCCGTGAGCAGTTCGAAAAATACCGTTCCAAAAGCATAGACATCACTCCGAGTAGAAAATGAGAGATCTGGGTGCTCAACACCCGGCCGGAGATCTTTGAGGAGCTCCGGCGCCAGGTAGCAGAGCCATCCGTGAGGAATCGTCAGATAATTTCCTTTGCGGCCGTCTTGACAAAGTTTCACTACAGAGAATAGACCAAAGTCTGTGATGACGATCTTGCCGTTCTCGTAGAAAATGTTCTTTGTCTTCAGATCCTTGTGCAGGATACCTCTTGCGTGTAGATAGCCCATACCTGAAATGGGATTCAGTGAACCTCCTCTCCGTTTGCATGGTACTCTGCGAGAACAAGGGAAATGGCGAGGGGGAAATTTATCCCATACATATAACCCGCAGGAGCGTCTCGCTCTCTCCTCCCGAGGAGAGGGCGGGAGCAACGAAATCATCACTCACCTAAGCAGACCTGTAGCGCGATACTTGCGATTTTGCTCAGGTTGAATTTGTCACCGCGAAGGTGAAGGTGCCGATAGAGAGTTATTCCCTTACAAAGGGAAGTTACGATGGCCAAGTTCGGGGGCTTCACGCAAGCTCCCATGAATAACACAAGATTCTCATGCCGCGTTTTTCGGAAAATTGCGACTTCCTGCTTGAATGTTGCCATTATCTCAGATCTCCTCCTATGTGACGCCGATTCCATGTTCAGCATTTTGACTGCTACAGCACCGTGCCAATTACCCCTGCGAGAGAAGAAAACTTTTATCAGCGGGATGCTGGAAGACGAGTGCATGAAGTGATCAGTTACTCCGTCGAATGCAGCTCTCACCTATAGACCACTCCAAACTGGCCCTCGCCTAGCTTTCCTTCGAGATTCACCTCATTCAGTGGTATGTCCCATTCTCGAGATGATAGCTAGAAAGGAAAGATCCGCGCGGTTATGCCGAGCCATTCAAAGGACGACGCTCTGCGCGGCTCTCTGAAAACCAACCTGAGAATCCTGGGAGTTGATTCTGTGTGCCATGGTTTTCTCACTGTCAGTCTGTGAAAGAGAGGGGGCCCGATTCAGCGAGGATGGTCAGGAGTGGAGCTCGTTCTGACCGCTCCCGAATCACGGGCGGCCCATGCATGCGGGCAGATCAGACTGTTCAGCAGGCACACAATCTGGTCAGCATTGGTCCTACTCACGCTTGCGCTTCCCGAGTTTGAATTGCCGGACACCACCGTCTTCTCCGAGTCCGTCATCGACTTGGTCTTCTTGCTTCCGCCGGTCGTGTAATCTCCTGAATTGCTCTGACTCTTACTCCCTCGTTTGAAGTCTTCCTGGGTAGGGAAACGGAACTTCTTGCCCCCATTCGAGCCCGAGAGACCCCCGGAGCTCGAGAAGTGCGGAGAGTTCGGGGCAGACGAGGTGCACGACGACGTAGTGCTCGAGGAATCTCCCGCGTGGTGCGAAAAGCCTCCGCGCAAGTTGCCCGCGAGCGCGTGCTTGGGCATCCCGCACGGGGAGTAACTCCCGAGCGACACTGTGAGACCCCCGTAAACTCCTTGTTGTTGGAATCTTTGCGCGAATACGTCCAGCAATTCATTCGGAAGACCGCAACTCGGCGGGACCTGGAAATGATTTCGGCATGATTCAGATACGGGCATCCGGCGTTGGTCCAGAATTGGCTTGTGCTCTGGCAAAAACTTTCGGAGCCATGGAATGTACGAACCTTATCGGCACAATCTCTATGGCAGCGGAACTTGCACTCCTTGCATTTATACCCGAAGAACATGGGCTTATTACACTGTTGACAGTTGGCCACTTTGACTCCGGACTCGAATCTGTGACGAATCGCGTGGCTCATGCAAGGCAACCGCGGTGATCGAGGTACAGTGTTGCTTCCTGATGAAGCTGCGAAGGGTAGAATTATTTGCTTTTTGAATTCGCCAATTTTTTATCCTCGGTGGTTCGATGAAAAAATGGGACTTCTCGATGAAGAGAGAACGGGGACACTTTCTCGATTCGAGCGAGGCTCGCTAGGAGCGAAAAAGACTCAAGATTTTCTCCTGCTAGAATTTCGATAATCGAACCTTGGCCGTTCGAGGAAACGCGAGATTTCTCCGGTTGGTCCACAAAACAAGCATCGACAGAAGCGTCAGGTGACGTCGCGAATGAGGGACTTCTTGACGGTGACAGGGAACCCGTCGAGCTAGGTGTGGGCTCGGTCTGTAGTCGTCTGCGGGTGAATCGAGGAACGTTCTTCTCCCGGTCGGACCGGCTGAGATCCGATCGAGACTTCGCCACTAATCCACCGGGACTATTCTCTGCACAACCCGTATTCTTCCGTTGATGCGGCGGAGTTCTGTAGTGAGAGCATTGATCAGAGTACTTGAGGTACATCTCCTCTGTTGAGCGGACGAGGCTTCAGCTCTAGGCTGCTCGTCCCCGGAATAACATGTCTGACACCGTCCTACCCCGATCAACTCACTTCGTCAGTCGAGGCAGAATTGGTTTCTTCTGGGCTTTCGGGGCCGCCTGGCGGAGAGGCGTCGACGGCTGTGCTGCTTGGAATTCGGCTTTCCCGAGGTATTCCCAGCTGAGATCTTCGTCATAGTCCACAAACTATGGAAGTGATATTTCTTCTGATTGATATAGCCACCGACTTTCCCCAGATCGAGACTCCCCGGCAGTTTCCTGTACCGAGCGAATCTCTGGGGCGCATGCATAGCATATAATCACTTGTTACATACTACATTCTCAGTTTTTCGTACCTTTCCCAGGGGATATTCTGTCGTTCTGTAGCGCTCCACGACTTTCCGCAGGTTTCGTAAAGCAACCACAAGGTGTGCGCGATCTTCTGCGTCGCCGTCGCAGAGAGCATCTGTAATGCGAGGGAGCAGTGAGCGTGCGCGCTTGGGTTGGGGTCGAGTGACAGGAAGAGAATCATCTCGCCCATTCAGTGACGTGCGAGACAAGTGACCGCTAGGGTGTCCCAGTCACGAAGCGGCGATTCGATGGGCTACCTGCGAGCTAGTGTTTCGTTTAAAACGCGAGCAGTGCGATCAGAGGTGATAATTGAACGTATAATGTCTGACGAGAATGAGGGTCTCGGGACTCGAAGTTCCGAAAGAAATCCGGATGTCACCAAGAGTCAGAGGACGTGCTTGTAATCATCAATTTTAATTCGGAGAAATTCTTTACCTTTTATTTGGTCATCCGTGCGTTGGAACAAGCGATCGAAGCTATCACCCGTTATCTCTCGTATGCTGGCAATACTGCTCTCTGTCAGTCCCACTATCCGGAACCAACAGTCCAGTTGGGGGAAGGCTTCGAGATCGTCGTCTTGAGCACCTTGTGGGGGAACTTTTCTGCGATGATATATTTGTCGAGCGGTGTATTGAACACATACTGACTGGAATGCAAGAGGAAAACAGATGATGGGCGGTTAGACATCTGCGTCTAGTTTCAGAGAGTAGAATCAAGTGAGTCGCGGGAGCTCCCGGGAAATAATTCCTATATTGTAGGGCCGGATTCCTCTGAATCCTTGGTCGGAATGAATGCCGGCGACTTCGATTCGTAGGAGTCAAGATCCGCCGATGACTTGAATCTCAGGGATCTTAATCGCTCGAAGGGACGATGGCACACCGAAGAAAGGAGGCTCTCTCTAGCTCTCTTCGTTGTGGGGCAGGCTGGGCCGAACATCTCGGGAGAGATTCAGGCAATGCATGTTGAGGCTCACAAGGCATCGGGTCGTTTCCCCCGAGGAAACTCGGCAAATAGTTCCGTCTCTTCGAAGACTCGAGAAAGGCTCCCGGTCAAATCGACAGCTAACTTCACGGAGGCCCGTCGACCGACGGGGACAATTCTGTAAATGCACAGCTGATCCCGGCCGTTTTCGGCTTCCGGGGAGTTGCGTCCATCGAATACTCGCCGTCAGTCAGTCGATTTATTCTCAGAATTATCATCGAGCCTCACCCCGCGAACACGAAAAAGGATAGAATTCGAATGCATCTCGATCCGGGGAGATCTGCACGTCCTGATAGCAATTGACTCCATGACGAATAGAGCAGCATGGGGCGCGATGATAGGTTCGGTGCTTGATCGTGACGATTTTCGGGTGGACTGCAGCTCAAATAGAGTTTTCGCGTTCCATGGAAATGCTACTCTGGAACTCGCGCAGGACAAGCGAGAGCGAATCTGCAGTGTGTTGGATACAGGGGACAGGGAACACCATGTGATTGACCCGAACCCTCTCGCATGATAGCGAGCTCCTCGGCGGAATGCAGAGGAAAGTGGCACTCAGATTCACTGCAATCGAAGTATGAACCATCCGGGAGACAGAAAAGGAATGTCTTGTGTTGGAATGGACTTACCTGAGCGCATCGGACTTCTTTTCGAACGAGCTCGCTTCTCGAACTCAGCTTTGTTTTGAAACGCACCATACGGTCATACCAGAGATCGATCGAGAACTGAAGCAACCTGCACGCCCCTGAAGGGCTATACTCGTTGTCGTATTTGAGGTTGTCAGAATCCCTCAACTCCCGTAAACGCTTTCGATGCTCCATGACTACATTTACTACCCGACGAAAGTACGATCATCGCTTGCGCGCTGATCCAACTGGCTCTAGGACGCTCAATGCTCTGGGAGAGGGTCCGTCTGGAGAGGGTTGACTCTCGAGATTTCCGTGCAGAGGTGAATGCGGCTTTTTCGTGCCGCAGACGACAGTGTATCTCGCTCCGCGCGCCGGTTTCGGGATCGAGAACTCCTGGGACGTCTAACGGTTTTGATCATAAATGAATGTCAGCGGAGACGCGGAGGGGAATCTGGATATCAGGGGACATTCATTTTTCGAGCAGAGAATCCCAAACGGTGCCCCGGCGAGAGCAGTTTCCGGATCACGCTCCTGTCTTAGACTGTCAAGTACGCCGGGTTCGGGGAACGGTATTATCCGGAAAACGGAGGAATGGCTCGACGCCATCCAGGCGAGATGCCGTAGAGGGTGGATGGCGAGAGGATTCGGAGCGCGCGGCAATCGAGAGAGGCAGTACTGATGCTGATTCGGGAGAACCCAGCGGCCTCCCCGACCTGCCTTCTGATCGAATTGGGACAGGGGTAACCTCTTTAGTCTTGCGAACCGCCGCATCCATGGTGCAGACGCATGTACCCGCGTCGACCCCCTGCTGAGGCGGGAATCGCTTCAACGCTGTGACGCGGAGAATCATATCGCTTCGTTCCCACCGCGGAAGTCTCGGTTCTCGAACTCTCATTTCGAGAAACGCCGTACAACTACCTCCAAAACCTTGTTGGGATCTTTGCGCAAATACATACAGCAATTCATCCGATTTTGTGCGGCAGAAATGGTAGAATACGCGGCGAATGAGGAGGGTGGACATCGCGATAGCCGCGAAATTCGTTCGAAGCCCGTAAGAATTCGCTGAGTTCCGACGGAATCCGCGGGAAGCAGGTCTGCCTTCAAGAAGTTTAGAGGATCTCCCTCCGAAGCTCATGCCAGAAAGGTCTATAACATTAGAAATTCTGGCTTATTCGACTCCGGCGGCTTCCCTGAAGTCGAGAGCATGGCCGGTATGTTGTTTCCACTGTCTTTCGACGGGAACAATCATTTCAATGAATAAACATATTCCTGTCTTAGGAAGCGTCAACATTCGCTGCAATCGCCAGGAAGCGTCAGGAAACTGTAGCAGCTACAGTACTCTTTTAAACGATCCGCGTTTTACGCGCAGGTCGACTGCCACCTAAAATATGAGCATGACGACGATCTACGGAGGAACGACTGAGAAGCCCCCCGCGAAAATCCCGAAACTGCAGAAAAGAACTCTTGGAGCCGTATTCGTCGCTCCTCGGAACGCCCTCTCAGCCCTTCTGCTCAGAGAATACGGAATTCCAAAGTTCAGAAGCCTTAACGCCTACAGCCTATTGTACCAGCTATATGTATACAGTCATACGCCATCTACGGGAACCAACTCATGTACATCAGACCCTATCCAGAGTGGCGGGTCTTCTGGAGACTACAGAGATGACGAAGTACAGAAATCGCAGGAGTCCATTACCCAACTTGACCCGACTATAAAACAGACTCCCAGAGAATATCCGAAGATGCATAGACAATCCTCATGTAAAAACGGTAGGTCAGTAAACGCAGGGGATACCAGAAGACGCTTTTTAAGAAGCACTTCGAGTATCAGCCTCGACGATATGGAAATGATACTGTTCTGAGACAACCAAAAAGTTCGCTAGCCCTGGGTCGAATGTTCGACTCCATCTAGAGTGCGAACCTCGTATCAGGGATTCAGATCCCTGTGGAATGTGGAGACACAGGTGAGTCCGACACGATTGCTACCGGAGTATGAGACCCTCCTCCTTCTTCGGACACGGGATGATTCTCCTATTTGCACCGAATGCTTTCATTCCGGACGGTCGAGAGAATTCTCCTCCGAACAGAAATGTCGCTATCAACTCGACAAACGGTGTACTTCCACGAGAGTTTGCGGTCCATTTGCGGACTGGTTTCGATGCCTAAAGAACGAATTCGACTCCCGGCGAGATTGCCGGTGTACTTCCCTCCGCTCGATTGTTGTAATGATTGTATTTCCTCGGCCTCTTGAATCAATCGGATAATTCCACTCCTTGCACTTTCTGAGTACCCGTCCTCCGCTGCGATAGAGTACCCGCCTGAGGTCCCTCTTACGTCACAGCAGTCGAGCGATTTCATTTATTCATTCAACAGTAGGGGCCTGAGCCCGCGAGCCATGCGGTCGCATGTTGGTGACACCTTTCCTCTAGATATGCAGGCACATTGATATCAGGAAGATAATATGAATGATTTCACTCGAAGCTTGGATGTTGAGTGATGCCGCAGGCTCCTGATGTCGTTGGGGAGAATGTTCCAAATCATGACCATCTGGTTCACCGGCGACGACCGCGAGGACGCGTAAGCGGTCGCTGGGGTTTTCGCAATGAGGTATGGCGAGTGAGTGGGATGGCGGAAAGTCGGGGAAGCGGTGGACAGATTGAAAAGACAGACAGGCTACGCGGTATCGATATAGTTGGGAGACATTTGGAATATTGAGGAGCTTACGAAGGGGGAATGCTGATGATCGAGGGGGAAGCCCAAAAATCGCCCTTAACGAGTTGTTCTGAGAGACCTGGATCAGACGAGACACAGTTGATGGGCAGGAGCCCCATACGGCAATACAGTAGGAAATCGAGCTATTTACAAAGGCGTCGAGGAAACCGAGTCGGCGCAGTCGATGGAGACAGAGACAAAGGTGATGAGTTTGGAGTGAAGCTTGGTGGCGTGGTCTTGCCACTCTAAGAAGTTATCGGGAGCAAAGGAGGCTAGTCTTCTTGGCGTTGACGACGACTTTGAGCGAGCAGAACATAGAGAAGATAAGGTCAAGTTGCTGGTTGAAGTTCGCCAAGTCCTCCGTGAGGCAGGAGCGTCTGACGTGGTATACAATAGTCGTATCATCCGCGTATGAGACGACTCTGAGCCGAGGAGACAGTAAGTTGGAGTGTACAAGGACGGAATTCATGTAAACTATGGACAGAAATGGACCCAAGACCGATGCCTGGGGGATACCGAGGCTGATCGGGAAGGGAGCAGATGAGAGGCTTTGGCGGTAACTGATGACTCTGCAGAACAGATAGGAAGAGAACCACTGTATAGCCGACGGAGCGAGGCCCAGGTCGTGTAGAGATCGCCTCTTCCCTTGAAGACGGGGACTACTTTGGCCCGCTTGAAAGCTGTGGGGAACTTGGAGAAGCGGATTGAGAGATTGAAGATGGATGAGATGGGAGTGACAAGGGCTGTGATCGAGTTAGGAATTATTTTGGACGGGACAGTAGTCTCTGAGTGAGCATAGGATGACTTGAGTTCAGAGGCGATGGGGGTAAGGGCAGGGGGTCAATGTAAGCAATGCTGAATAGAGGGAGCTCAGTTGCGGCAGTGTGCCTCAACAGCGAATCAAGGCCAATAACGTTCGATGAGGGTGAAGGACAGAGGGCAGCAGTCTCCGCTCCCACACCCGCAAAGAATCGGGCGCAGTCATCAAGACTCACTGCAGTAGAATGTAAAGAGGTCTTTGGAGATGGTTGCGTCCGCAAGACGCGTTGATGAATCTCCAGAGCTTAGCACTAGAACGGCTAAGGTCAGCGACAAGACGGACGGTATGGCTGGAGCGCGCCGAACGAACACGAGAGCTGTAAGTTGACAAAGGCGAGTAGAATTTAGGTTTTGCACGAACATCACCACGGGAGAAGAAGCGGCGACCGCAACTCTGCAGGCGTCTCCGCAGAGCAGCGAGAGGCGGGGTATACCAGGGGCTAGAGCACGGGCCGGCCTGCTGTGAGCTCTGGAGAGGGGGAGACACCGATCGTGGAAATGGTAGAGAAAGCTTTGGGAGACATCAAAGGCTGAGGCCACCTCGCCGCAGGCATATAGGAGGCTCCAATCGTGTTGCAGCAATTCATGGAGGAAACGAGAGTAGTTCTTAGAACTGAAGATTCGGCGGAGTGAGCCAACAGAGACGGGCATCCGCGGCACGGACGAGATAAGAGAGGTGTAGACCGGCAGATGATCAGAGAACTCTAGGCAGTCCGGGACGCGAACCACCGATCTCCCGAGATCACCGTCACCGGAAATCCACTTATGATCCAAGCAGGAACCAGAAGCGGGACGCGTAATCTCCTCGTGCAGATGAGTCAGACCCAATTCGAGCATACCAGAAATGAAACTAGCCGCCAGAGAGGACCGCGAGCGTAGGTCGACATTGAGATCCCCCGCAGGATAGTCGGGGTAGACGGGATCAGATCCTTGAGGAGGGATAGGAGTTTAGAGCTGCGCTGAGCGTTACAAGAGTAGGCAAGGAGCAGATTGGTTGGTATACCACCTATAGAAAGACTTAGGGAGATGGCCTGGACATTCTCGTCATCGGATTGATCAAGTTGGCTCCCATTGACGACAACGGAGTTATTGATGACGATGGAGACGCCCCCGTGAGGGGTTGAGCGGCACACGAAGTAATGGGTGAAATCACTGATCTGGTGGACCGAGGCTTCCGGAGCGGTGAACCAAGTCTCCGAGCAGCAGATGACATCAAATGATCTTGCAAACTTCTCAACTGGGAGGTCGAACTTGAGCGTTTGTCTTAGAGAGCGGACGTTGAGCTGGATAATTTCGAGTTACGATGGGGGTGGTTTAGGTAGTCATTCTTCGGCGTCCTTCAGATGTCCCGAGGCAAGATCTCCACCTGATCTGTCTTGCCTCGGAGCAGAGGTAGATGATGTTGCTGACCGGACGTTGAGGTCCCCTTCAGGAGTAGGCAAGGGGGCGGGGGTCGCATGGACAGCGATCCGAGAGGCGGATGCCGAGGGGTTTATAGCGGTCTCCGCAACGCGATCCGCAAAGACAGTTTTCCACCGAATCTGTCGACGAGCTGATCTGCTGGCCAGACATTCGGATCAAGGAAGGAGCTGAGGCTGTCAAGCCCGACCTCAACTACGAACGACGCCGAGGTCGCGACATTGACATGTGGGGGAGTTTTG